GATATGTACAGCCACACATATTACAACAGTAGATATGTACAGCCATACATATTACAACAGTAGATATGTACAGCCATACATATTACAATACTAAACACATCCAACTACACACATATACTATAATAGTAAATATCCAACAACACATACTACAATAGTAAATACATCCAACTACACATATTACAACAGTAGATATGTCCAGCCATACATATTTCAATACTAAACACATTCAACTACACACATGCACCCTAATAGCAAATACATCCAACCACACTTATTACAGTAGTAAATACCTTCAACCACACAAACTACAGTAGTAAATACCTTCAACCACACATACTAAAGTAGTAAATATTTCCAATCACACATATTGCAGTAGCAAATTCATCCAGTCATACATATTACAATAATAAATACATCCAACTTCCCACATTACAATAGTAAATACATCCAGTAACACATACTAAACTAACAAATATTTCCCATTATACACACTGCAGTAGTAAATCTTTTTGTACGACTGGGTCAGAGTATGCACGTCACGACCTTCTACAGTTTCATTTAAAATTTAATTAATCAATTTTTATTATCAATATATATTAATACATTTAACATCAAAACATAGTTTATAATTTAGATTTCTACAGAATCTAAGTTTTAATTTTTTAGTCACAAGCAGAAATATTTAGCAAATCTTCACTTTTCTGTGTCACGTTACACGTCTGCTCTCTGAATTCTCATTACAGATGTTATATCTTTCCTAATATGGCTTTCGGGGTGTCCAAACAATTAGAAACACAAACTATACATAATCACAAGTATAAAATCTAAAATTTTAACTTCCTACTTTCTTGAATTGCTGAGATATATTTATATTTGTCAAACCCACTAGAGGAGCTCTTCCCCTCCTTGTCTGTTTTCTTTATACTTTTTGCTAATAGTTCTTACAAGGCTAATGGACATATTTATAACAATAGAAAGAGCAGTTTCACTTCTACAGACACCTAAAGAAGCCATCATTTAAATATCCTAAGTAAACTATTAGTTAGTAGAAACATTTAGTCTTGGTGATCATAGTTCTTTCTTTCAAATAGCTTATACATTTTTTAGCCTATTTATATCTTACAGATAAATAACAGTACTTTCGGAACATTCTATTCCAATGCTTGATATATTTCTTTGTGTTCTAAAGCTTTACGAGATTTTATTTGAACAACTAAGTTAGTTAAAAAGTGAGGCCTAGCATAGTTATGGCTTGCACTTGCAAATATCATGTGGGTCACACACTTTGCATGTGGTGTTTACTACAGACAGCTGAATGGAGAATTGTCAATTTCTCTGTTAGTACAAGCTTCATTTCCACAGGAAACATATTGACTAGCTTAGATGAATTTATAATGGCTCTTGTCACATCGTTAGAAAGCCAGAAAAACTGTGACATTTAGGGGAAATTGTCTGCTTTTTGCATTTTATTATTCTATGTTCTTTGGTGAATTATTTAATTCAATAAAAATGATTTAGTGAATTACTACCATTAGTATAAAAAAAGTAGGGTTAAGTGTATCGACAGTGGTTCAAAGGGCAATCAAAGAGCAATAAAACAATAAAATTTAAGCATAAATAAATGTATACTGCTACGAGTTTAAAGCTACTTAGGATAAATGAATATAGTTTCATTTTACAATTTGAAGTCATTCTAGAAAGAAAAAACGGTAATTTAGATTTATTTCGTTGTTGTTGTTTTTCGATGGTGACGAGTTAGGGTAGAGAAAATAACAGATAAAATAAAAAGTTTTATTGAAAACAATTGTTTGAAATGTATTCGGGAGGTTTTACAGATTACACAAAAGATATTTGAGATATTGGGGATGAAGAATAGTATTTTTAATCATAACATGAAAATCACTTCACATTCAGATCATTAACAAAATAGACTTGATATATTCACAAACAAATCTTTAGTAAAAATACTTAATTAAAAAATCTGTAATGTTTACTAAAAGTCTACCAAATTTTGTGAAGATACACAAACTGCATCAAAAGTTACAGTATAAATCCTTAATGTGTGTAAATGTATATCAGGGTTCGTACACCTTAAGTGAGATGAAATTCCAGGACATTTCCAGGACAAATTGTTTTGACCAACAGCTTTGATATGGTCGCAGATTATTCTTCTAGCCACCAGCGTCTTCTCTGACATGTTGTCAGCCTCTATGTTTCGGTTGACCGAAAAGCCCCTTTCCACAGACGCCTGACCATGGGACAAGATCAGGGCTTTCCGAAGTACCACCCACAGTCGAGCATACTCTTGCTGGCCAGACACTTTGTTTGCTATCTGTGACAGCCTTGGGAAGGTTGAGTTCGATCCTCATAACGATCGCCTAGATAAGTTCTGGTTCTTGTATTGATACACAATGAAAAAATCATGGGCAAGATGTTTAAAGGTAAATGACATGCATATATTTATTTATGTGTTTTTATAAAAATATATTTATGCGTTTATTTAAAAAAATACTTAACTAGTTGGATTTAATCAATAAATACTTGTTTAACAACTTTCAGAATGAAAGAGTAAAAATGAAAAAGCAAATCAATTTTATAAATTAGAATTTTAATTGAACTTGTTTTAAAATTTTTAATCAAAATATTTAAACATTATTTTAAAAGCTGGCAGATTTCTATAAACATAATTATTAGACTCAGTTCAAAAGATGGTTAACCGGTAACAACAGCAAAATCATGGATTGGTTGGAAAATGTTTATAAAAACAAGGCTCCCAAAAAGTTATTCGTACAGTTACACAACCGACCCTATTTGAAATTGTGAACGTCATTTTTTCAGTACATTATAAAACAGG